GTTGACACTTCCGGTCAGACAAGAACGCTACTACACTTCTTGCCCGAACGATGAAAGATTGACTCCGCCTCGCCCGACGGCTGCGGGCAGGCCCCGCCCCGTCCGATGGCTGAGGGCTAGCTCCACCTCGCCCAACGTCTAAGGGCAGGCTCCACCTCGCTCGATGGCTGAAGGCTGGCTCCGCCTCGCCCGACGTCTGAGGGCAGGCTTCGCCTCGCCCGACGGCTAAGGGCAGGCTCCGCCTCGTCCGATGGCTGAGGGCTAGCTCCGCCTCGCCCGACGTCTGAGGATAGGCTCTACCTCGTCCGATGGCTGAGGGCTGGCTCCGCCTCGCCCAATGACTGCACCCTACTCCTTCATAATGACAAGCACAGGGTATGACAGGACATTCGAGTCAACCGCAGTACCGAGGACCATGCCCTGCACACCTACAGGAAGGTACCATTAGGATACGATGGGAGAGGCGCTTTAAGCCCTTTCCGACCTAACAGAGCCCAAACAGTGTTGTAGGCGCCGACTTTTTGTCCTATAGTGTTGTAGGCGCCGCCATCAACCCTTGGGCGCGGATGCTAACACAGGCATACGACAACCACTACAGTCCAAGAGAGAACTCACGTCATCAATAGTAATAGGCATATAGTCACTTCCCCGTCTACTCCCCACAGAGTCATGGCTCGGCATCCTGACACACCGCATCGTCCGCCGGGGGAGGATGGGACATGACCACTCGCTGAAACAAAGCCAGAGCACGGCCCTATCAGGTCTGCCATGTCAGCAAGGCAGGCTCAGGGGAAAAGGAAGACCCGGCACCCTCGAAGGACCTTCTCTACCTTTGGTTTTTTCCTCTTTTTCCCATCTGTAATCCCTACTCCCCCCTTGGTCTATAAAAGGGAGGGAAGGACACCCCACGGAGGGGACGGATCAATTCCACACACAACACACAGCCAAGTAGCAACCGAGCTCTTGGCATCCTTTCGACCTTTCCATCAGAGACTTGGGACATGTCCCTCTCTCGACCGTTTGTACCCCCTACTATGAACCTTTTTCGGTACTGATAACATGAGCATCAGCAGACTGGACGTAGGGACATTCTGCCTAAACCAGTATAAACCTTGTGTCCTTTAGTATACCATCCGAGCCTAACGCGCACCAAATATAAATTTACTAGTTCGTGTTTGTTTGAAACACCGACACCTGTTGACCTCATATACAAGATATATGATAATACTCATAGCACGCGTTTGTCAAAAAAAAAAAAAAAAAAGCTTCATAGATGGTCTTGGTTAGGTCCATGTTCACATTAACAATCTTCCTTCCAATATCTTTGCCACCATGGTATTTTGAGTCAGCAAACAAGGAATAACCTAAAATTGATTAGATTTGGATCATTTTGGGAAATATAGTGAATCAATTATAGTGCATAATTGTGGCATGCCAGATCAGAATGATTCCAACTGTCATAAAATCCTTAAGATATAATTTTAAAAGATAATTGGTTGTTTAAATTGACACCGGCAGTCATGATAATCCCATGAAAGGCTTTTATACAATTGTTTGGCAAGCTTGAGCAGAAAGGATGAAAAAAAACAATGGAAGAAAATTGTACTCCATTGCTAGTTGCTACATGTCCAAAATCCAATATAACATCAGAACCGATAATAAGCATCACAATCCCAATTCCATTGGTCAAGATTCAAATTTCTAAGTTGGAGAAAGAGTTCTGGGAAATCCAGAGATGCATAAGTCAACAGCCTATAATAAATTTAACATTAATACTAAAAGAATGGGGGTTTGAAAGTACCAAAATCTAAGCTCGTCTATATACCAAACCTCAAGAATTATCAAATAGCCTGCACCCAAGAAAAACAAACAAGATAACAGTGAAACACACTTACTTTCCACACTATGCACACAATCCATGTGAGATGTTTGCACAAGCGCTTCGAATAGATTTTCCTTAGGAAGAAGAGCTTCCATAATCAGCACAAGAAGCTCAAGCAACAACAGCAGAGCCCTATTTCTTGACAAAAATTAGAAGTATTCACAGCATATAAAACTATAACTCAGTAAGCTTCATAAAATCACCATTCAGCCAGCTTGTTCCGACAGACACAAACCTGCAAGATGGAGAAAATATAGAAGAAATCAACAATCTCTAAATAAACCCATAAAATAAAGGAGATAGGTCCTTTAAGAGATTCGCTAGTACATTCATTCTAAGCCATATATTTAAACATTTTATTTTTGCTTTAACAAAATCATAGACAAGAAGAGACATGTTCGTTTTTAATTCAGAGCATGTATCATTTAGCTTGTGCTCTGCAGCCAGCAAATCAGCCATCATTTTTTTCAGAAACATGCAATCTTTAGTCTACTGAATTCACCTATTCATTATCAACTAATATTAGCCTTGTTCACAGCATCTTGTCTCATTGCTGAACCCCTTACAATCACATTTGTCATGACATCATGGGACTTGCTCACATAGACACACCCCACACATCTAATGGGACTGGCATTGGCCTATGCTAACAAGAAAAAAATTTGTAATTGATGAAAACAGACATCATGATACACTTTCTAAAAATATCACGAGACAAGATGATAATCCGACTTTTGTATAAACTTTTTAGTATAAACTTTTATACCAAAATAACCCTGTTAACAAACGGAAGATATTTTTTTACTTGTGGTACCTAGGGTGCCTCACAAGAACCATAATTTGCAGATATGTTCCAGTTTATAATTTATTTTGCTATATAAACTTTTATACCAAAATAACCCTGTTAACAAATGAAGATTTTTTTTTACTTATGGTACCCAGGGTGCCTCACAAGAACCATAATTTGCAGATATGTTCCTTCTTATTATCCCTACAAACTCGTTTTACAAGAGACCCCAACAACTAACAAATTATTAGTTGATTTTGCTGCAATGGTTCAGTTACCATGGAGTTCAAGAACTACACAAATTATTTGTTGCTTTTGCTGATCCAAATAAATATGACCTCCTTCTTATCGTAGAAGGGCTCCGCAATCTCTTGGCGCAACGTCCACAACCGCTTCCCATCAAGTTAAGCAAATAGAGGACAAGGAAATTAAAATTTGAATGGACAACAGCCAAGAGCACTTTATTTAGAGATGCAGGAAAACTGTCGATGATTAACTGCGGGAAAAGAAAATAGTAAAAAATCTTGGGTCACAATTTAAACTCATGATTTCCTTATTTCCGGTGCGCAGAAGCTCCTGCAGTATTTGCAAATACAAACTCTCTTGGGTGGCAATTAACTAAACATGTTGTAAGCGATCATAAAAAGAATAACAAGAGTGTTGTTAAATTACAATTTCAGTGTATAATGACTGCAAAGTTAAATTATAATATAGTAATTTGTTTTACTATTCTAAACCTGAACTCTACTCAACTGACTAAAGTGGATCTGAATTAAAGAAAAGCCTTATCAGGTTATCCTCATGTTGTTAGTAATTTCGCTAGCACAAGTAGCATTGCCTTGTACACATCATGCCTGAAGGCATGCATCACCCATCCACGTTGCTCCTGTGTTCATGTTCCCATCACCCATCCACTATAATTTGGTCATGACAAAGGAACCAAATGAAATAATAAACACAATTAAAGATCAGTGGTAACACACGAGACCGTCCGATCATTGATGTGGCAAATCCCAAGGGCAAGACACAGCGAGAAGGCGGAGAGGATACGAGAGGTACCTAGCTGTAGTGGGAGCGATACAGCGATGTTCAGGAAGGCTGCCATGGTACCGACCTCCTCCACTGCCCCATGGATCCGGACCAGCCTCCACCACTGCCACTGCATGCCATGGGGGAGGGGGGGGGGAGCGGCGCATGCAACAGAGTGGGGGTGAGGGTGCCACTGAGGAAGCCGCGACTGGGGACGGAGGGTGTGCTGAGGGGCGGCGCCCAGGGATGGTGCGACGCTGGCGCGGATGTGCCGACGCGCAAGGAGGGACCTGGGCCGGTGTGGAGGATCGACGCACGGGGAAGAAACATGCACTGCCGCGAAGAGGGCGACGCGCGGAATGGTAATGAGAGAAAGCTAAGAGATAATGTGCCGGCGCGTTTTGATGGTGTTATAGGGTGCATTTATGAGTGTGGGCGCATAGGTCATGACTGTGAGCGAACATTGTGTGTGCGCGGCAGCTCGGTGTATTATAGGGATGGTAGATAGATAGATTAGTTTTTCTATATTTGAAAGATTACCTATTTCGTTTGAAACCGTTCACATAGTATAATTGAGCTATGAACCTTTTTTTTATGCCTGAGCAATGAACACTAGCACAGTACACACGCTTCGCTGCGTGCGCCCGTTGCATGTGTTTTTTGAAGGGAAAGAATAAAAAGAAGGAAAAAGGGAAAAAAACTGTAAAAAAAGGAAAAGGAAAAGGAAAAGGAAAAGGGGGATAAGAAAAAAAAACAAAAACAAAAATAAAAATAAAAATGGAAAAGTGAGCAGTGTTGAAAAGGGGAGGAGGGCGGAGGAGGCAGGGATTCCTGCCTGGTTAAAGAGAGTGGTTATTATTATTTGGGGGTACTCAATTGCAAGTTTCCACTAGGTCCACGGAGTCAACATGGGTGCGCGCCGCGCAGGCCAAATCGTATCGTCAGCGCACATGCGCTTAGCCCATTCTCCTGTGATTCTCCTAGGAAAGCCCAAACACAACCAGGTGTAGGGCCATGTGCTAGTTCAGCCCATTTCTCAGCCCAACATGACGCACTTGCTGCTCTGTGCAAAGTCAAACAAGCCTCTCTACACTGCAACTGCAATCCGACTCCTGAATTCCTGAGCGGAGTGGCCAGCTCCCAGACATGGGCAAGAGTCAAGACAAGCACCCACTTGCCCACGCGCACGGCAAGCCGGCAACGCCACGCGAGAAATTCCCTCTCAAGCAGAGCGCCGCAGCAGCACGTGCGCGCAGGCCACAGCCCCGATCGACGAGCCGGCCGAGCAGGCACACCGCACGCATGCCTCCTCACATGACGACGATCTCGCACCGGATCGCAGGGTCGGGCCCGCGCGTCGCCGTCGTGGCGCCGCCTCGCCCGCGGGGGCGCGCCGCCGTGGTCGCGGGAGCTGCGGCGAAGGGCGCACATCGGGAGCGGACGCTGGAGGGCGCGAGCGACGACCTGAGGGCCGCCGCGGCGCAGTGCCTGGACTGGGCTCCCGCGCGGCGTCGGGTGCGGGCCACCTTCGCGCCCGTGCTCCCCACCCTCGACCACTGCCTCTTCAAGGTTCGATGTGCTGGTCGCTCTTAGCTTGATTTGGTCTCGTACGCTGTAGCGGAGGTTCGGTTGTCGAAATTACTTATTGGGAAATGGTCGAACGCTTCCAGTACTGCGGAGCTTGCCACCTCATTTAGGTGCGAGCAGAATTTTCTCAACTGGTAGGATCCGCTGCATGCCCAACAAATTGAGTACGAGAAATGAGCAGCCCGATTCTTCAGTGTGCAATTCGCAGTACCCTCATGCAATTCTATACAGTATAACCCAAGTCGTCAACAATCAGGTTTATGGCAATTAATATAGGAATAGGACACAAAAAGGTGAACCTTTTTTTTTTTGCCAGAGAACAGAACGGTCAGGAGCCCGGACGCCAGCCCATGCTAATAAGAGTAGAACTTTTCCTAGTTTTCCCTTCTGAGAACACGATGAACCATCCGCATCTGTTATTGAGTTCCAATTACTAATTTGGTATCCTTGTAATATTGGTTCATATGATATCAGTTGTCCCATTTTTCTCATTTTCTGTGTCCTACTTTTCATTTTGCAGATGGCTCCCAAGGAAATCCAGATGGAAGAGGTACGGGCATGATGGGATTTCTGAATTGACCTTGCATTCCATTTTGTTCAACGTTCAAGTAGTTCCCTCGCTGAAATAAAGTGGCACGGGCAACCATGACCATTAAATGATTCAAGAGCTTCTTTCCTTGCTTTGGGTATTGATAGATACTGCTCGTTACTGTAGAATTACGAGACCAATTCAAAGGGCGTTGAAATATTCTGGAAGAGCTGGCTGCCAAGAGAGGGCACTGCAACTAAGGCTGCACTTTTCTTCTGCCATGGATATGGGGATACCTGCACTTTCTTTTTTGAAGGTGACATTACTTGTTCCGTTATGTTTTGATTTGCATTTATCATTGCTTTGCCTGCATGTTTATTAATTATTATTAACAAGCTTGAGATTACAGGGATTGCTAAGAGGATAGCTGCTGCTGGTTATGCAGTTTATGCTATGGATTATCCTGGTTTTGGCATGTCATATGGTCTCCATGGCTATATTGCAAGCTTTGATGGAATGGTGGACCATGTCATTGAACAGTATGCACGAATAAGAGGTTTTTTTGGCTTATCTTCTGTATATAAGAGTATATCCGTAATTATATAGTCTTTGCATCATGGTATAATGACTATCAATGTTCAGGCATGAAGGAAGTGTGTGAGCTGCCACACTTTCTCTTGGGACAGTCAATGGGAGGTGCAGTTGCCCTGAAAGTACACTTGAAGCAGCAAAAAGAATGGGACGGTGTGCTTCTTGTCGCACCTATGTGCAAGGTAATTCTCAAACTCCCAATTATCATCAGATTAGGTCAGCACGCAATCACATCGTTTTGTTTCTGTTAGTATAAGGTGTTTATATTTTTCACTGTCCACTAACTATCCAATCATGAGTTGTGCTAGCGTACAATAGTGGATTGTAGTTCACAGTTGACAGTAGGTGGAAATATAGTGCTAGGTGAAATTTGGGAGCCGCTGGTCAAGAAGTGACTTCTTATTGATACGTTTGCAAAAACAATTTATTTCCTAGTTACTAATAACTACTAACTAAGGTCCTGTTTGGATCCATTTGCCATAGACTAAAGTTTAGCCCTTAAACTTTAGCCCTGTTGGGATGTTTGGATCCATGGCAAAAGTTTAGTCCTCCATCTTACAATGACTGATTTGCCCCTCAATCCCTTCTCCCAAAACAGCATCAGCGGTTGCAGGTGGGTGGGTGGGGGTATAGGGTGTCCAGTGCACCCCCAAGGCACTTTTAGCCCAGTTTAGGGCCTCTTGAGGAGCAAATGGGCAAATGAACTTTTCCTCCCATTTAGTCACTTTTAGTCCACCTGTTTGGATCCCCATGGCAAAAAAATGGGCTAAAAGTGCAGGACTAAAGTTTTGCCATGGGATCCAAACAGGCCCTAAGTCCATGCCAAATTTAATTTTTCTTGCAATCAAATCATAGCATATTTCCGGTTTTACTTCACGGTAGGACAACTAATCTGAAGAATGCATGAAGAAATTATCTAGATTTTCTTTACTTATCTACCAGGAAAGCTAGCAACTGGTGTTGGAATTTCCCTTGGAAGTCTTTTTGCATGTTTTTAAAGCCCAAGGATATATGTACTTGATTTATTTTTGTCTCCTCATTCTTGTTCAGTGATTTTATAAGACTGGCTTCTCTTTGGCAAGATTTCAGAAGATGTAACACCACCTGCACCTGTATTGAAGGCACTGAGCATATTGTCATGTCTTCTTCCTGAGGCTAAGTTATTTCCGCAGAAAGATATAGGAGATTTGGCATTGAGAGATCCAAGGAAAAGGAAAGTAGTAAGTTTCTTGCACAGTTTCTGCGCTATTATCTTCAACTTTATTTGCACGAATGTAATGTAACACCTAGCGTATATCCTATTATCCATGTGCATTTTGTGGTTTGTCTCTCTTCTCTGCAGTATTTTAATAGTATGCCACATCTTGCATAGGTTAGTTTGTGCAAGACTAAGTCTCATACAATCTGCCTTGTTTGCCATGAGGTTCTAGTAATAGTTTATGTTACCTCTAGGAAATGAATCAATATAGCACTGCTGGTTGAAATATTTGTTGAAGTTATTTACCTTGGCATTTTCATTTTCAGGCTGAGTACAATGCCATCTCATATTCTGATCAAATGAGATTAAGAACAGCAGTTGAACTTTTAAAAGCCACGAAGGACATTGAATCACAGTTGGAGAAGGTCACTATCGCTTGCACTTTTTTCTCATGGATCTGAATCTCTCTGTTTTATATCGTTTAAAAATAATCTGAATGCAAGTCATGAGACCACTGCGTTTCTTCTCATTATTTTTTATATGTACATTCCTTCTCGTTGAAGTACCTAACACAAAAACACTTTTATGATATTCCTATGTAGATCTCCTCCCCATTGCTGATTCTTCACGGAGCCGCGGACATGGTAACCGATCCTCAGGTCAGCAAATTCCTTTATGAGAAAGCCAGCACGAAGGACAAGACCCTCAAGCTCTATGAAGGCAGCTACCACTCAATCTTAGAGGGAGAGCCAGATGACCGGATTTCAACTGCCATTAACGACATCATTTCATGGCTAGATTCACACTGTTAAATACCCTTTGTCTATAGCCTCTCATGTCCTCATCCATTGTTTTGGATTTATAGTTCCTTAGGGTACTATGGGACTCTAGTGCTTTAAATTTTGCCATGATGTGCAGAGATAAGTATCTCTCGAATTTAATTAGTTGTGTTTGCTATCTTGACGTTGTTAAGTGTTTTTTTTTGTTAATTGCGGACACCGCATTGTATAATTTCTTTCTCAACCATGGTCCAATCCTCAAGCCAAGATTTAATCTAATCTGCCAAGAAGATGGTACCCATTCGGGGTTTTTTCCCCATCATCAAGGACAATACCAGTTCTATTGGTAAAATAGTTGTTTATACCATAGTATTTATCTGGAAATACTTTTGTCGACCGTACATATGTCCTATGTCAAAGCATAATATATGGCATGAGCTGCCATAGAGAACCTACTCAGCTTGACTGTACCATTGACGCAGGCAATGACATACTCCCTCTGTCTAGCCCATCTCATTTATGGAGGAGTTAAATCTTTTCAAATTTAACTAAGTATACAAAAATTATTAATGTTTATTATATATAATAAGTATTATTAGATTATTTGTAGAATATATTTTTTATAATAAATTTATTTAGAGATACAAATATTGATATAATTTTATATATTACTAGTCAAATTTTAAAAAGTTTTACTACTCGAGAAACGAGATGCGTAGTTATTTTAGAACGGAGGTAGTAGCCACTATTGATATTTCTTATGCTTAAGTAGGTAATTTCGTAAGCGGACTGAATATCATTATGGCACTATTTTCGAAAAATATTCCAAAGTATCGTATTTTTTCATTAGTGGAAACTCTAACTAAGTGTATTGATAAATATAGTTTGTATCACAATCAGCTGCTACCAATGTCTAGTGGGGTAAACCACGATATAAAGTAATGCGATAACCAAAAAAAATACAAACTAAATAAAAATAAACGGCGTACCTAGTTGGAGGATAACAAGTGAGTACTAAGGTTCCTAAGCTCTTATCTATTACTAAGGACCAACTCTAGTATAGAACTTAGAAAACACAACAAGATTCAAGTTATAGCACAATAAAACTTCTATAGCACTTCGAGGCACGACCCAAAATAGCAATGAAAAGGGGTGAGAATGATGCTAAGTTCTGGCGTAAAGAGCCCTATGTTTTAAGAATGAGCCTCGATGTGGAGGATTATGTAAGCTAGATAGGACTATCACTACCTGCGGGCTACCACACAGTTGTGGGCAGGCCATAAACCTAGGTACTACACTATAAGATACTCCATCCGTTCCAAATTATAAGTCGCTTCGACTTTTTTGGTACATCTATTTTGCTAGGGAGTACTAGTGTACTACTCTAGTCTCGCGTGACGGGTAAAATCAGAGCTTTTGATACGAACGAGAAAACTGATGCTAAGAAAGAGTCAACTATAGTATATAAGACCATAGTTATACAACTAAGGTCTAACTAAATATCAAAGCAACTACAACAAGTTTGTTTCACAACAATAAAGTACTCAAGTAAAGTAGAGAAGATATATTGAAAACTCATTGTCTTACAAAACAAACGATACATGAGCTATACTAGACTTCCAAAGACTACTCTTGTAACTTCGAGCTTAGCTCGACTCAACTCTAACTCTCAATTGAACTAGCTTAAATATAAATATTATAATTGAGCTTGATCGAATAACTCTTATTGGATCATCTTCACTTTTTGGCTTGACATCACAAATTGACATGGTCATCATGGCTTTGCTCAACTCAATTCTTCTCACATCATCAAGATTTTCTTATTCAATTTGTGAGCCATTTGTTTCATCAACCCCAACATCATGCACCTCTTCAACAATATCTTGAGTCTTTTTGCATACTTGATAAGCTTTGTTATTTGATGAATATCCAAGAAGAAATTCTCATTGTACATTCTTTCAAACGGACAATCAGGTTCCTTCTGTCAATATGTAGCATTTGACACCAAGGATCCAAAAATATGAGATGCTCAGCTTTCTTCTAATGAGCAACTTACAAGGTGTCTTCTTCAATAATCTATGGCAATATAGTCTATTTGATACATGACAAGTGACGTTAATTGTTCAGTCCAAAAACTATCCGAAGACATTTCTCCTTTAGCTCGTTTTCTATCTAGACATGGAATAGAGTAACCCGGTTGAAGAGTAATGATCGTACATATGTAATGCATTGTATGTCCCAAAATATGTGTCATTCTTCTACCCAGAGTCCTAGAAAAGGTCCCATGCATTCTTCTATCCTTTTTGGTAGTCAATGGCTATTCACAACTACTAACTTAACATAAAAAAAAGAGTTCGACCAAATACTTTATTTCTGTCTTAGTGAATCCTGATTCGATTTGGCATTAAAAGTATATTGACTCTTTCCCAATAAACGAAGACTCTTTTATGTAAATATTGCGTATTTGATTCTATCCATAAATCTACTATCTCCTATGTTTTGAGTTCTAGTATCGATACAAATTCGAGTTATTATTGTTCTTATGTTATTGTTGTTATAAATGTACCATATCAATTCATTATGTATGAATGATGGATGCAATTCCATGGATAGAGAGTCAGTTCCAATAGACTTATGAAACGTCTAGGAATTGAACCCGCAAATTTACCAACTATGACCTGAGCGCTTTAACCATTCAACCATGAATGCTTAATAGGGATCATCGTACATCATAAATAACAATTTTTCATATCGAAAGACAAATCATAGAAGAATGAAATCGAAAAGACTCAATAATTATTTCTCTCTAGCAAAAAATGATCTTGGTCATTGAAGGATTGAAGAACAAAATGCTCATTTTGAGAGTTGACGAAGTCAAACGAGAACAAGAGAAAGTTTAGAGACCCACCGCTTCACTCAATTCAATATAAAAAAGTTGTTGTGAAAAAATATAAAGAAAGCCATCCATCTTTCCTCAATTCTCCTCGACTCAAGATTAAAAAAAAAAAGAAATTTCTCGTCGACTCCTCCCAGTGACATCTCCAATCGCCCCCGTCCCCGGCGGCGCCCCTCTGGCTCTTGTCCTCGCCTCCTCGGTGCCGCACCTCCTACATCTCTGCATCACCGCTTTAGCACGGCCAGTTGACCACCACGACCGCCTGCACTAGATCCCACCCGAAGCCGGCGGCCATCATACCCGTGCGCGCTAGCTGGGCTGGATCTTTCAGCTCCGCCGCCGGCAAGCGAGCGTGGTCTAGCGCCGCAGTGGTTTCACCGACCTTAGTTCGGCCCGTAAGCTCGAGACTGACCTTAGATTTCTTGAGCTTAAGGTCTCAGTGGGGTTAATTCCGTAGTGTATGAGGTCGACCTTTAAAGGTCTTACGACTCCCTTGTTTCGCACGCTACAGATGTCGTCAAGCTGTTAACATCTGCGGGTGCATCTGCGGGCAGCCTTTGGCGAAGCTGCCGACGATGTCGTCTCTCAACTCGCTCTTCAACCGCTCCACCTTCGGCACAAAATGGTAATTTCCCGTTTCGACTAAAGGGTGGATTTTTAACTTTCTATAAGATCGCGAATTTTAGTGTGCTTTCTTATGAGATATCCGAAGGATATGAGTCTGCCTTTCTTTGCCCCTTCCCCTCATAGAAAAGCGAATTGCCATATTAATGCCCTATGTTAGATGTTGTGGGGGCAATTTAATGTATGCCTAAAATGCGAATTAGGATGAAAGACATCTTGCTTCAGGACTTTCATATGTTGCTGAAGATGTTATATGTTAATTCGACACGGTAGTGGAATATTGATTGGCAGCTTCATTTTTGGTAGTAAGGATGTCTACTTCAGTAAAGATATCTGAATCCACCATGAACCAACGAAAATTGACTAGTATTGAGCTGGAAAAACTAAATTAGTAAGTACCCCTGTGGCTTCCACTGCTTCAACAACAGCCGATGGCCTTTGATGACTTACTTTATTTCAGTTGTGGAAGTGCTCATTGGTTATGAGGAATTATTATATTGCTATGTTCTTACCCAGTGTCAGTTGATGTTCTGTGCTAGTGCTTACAGTGTTATCCATTCACACACATGGTGTGATTTGGAGGAAACAAAATTTCATGTTGTTTAGATCTTTAATTAACTTATTTTCTGTGCTTTATGTAGCAAAACATGTTTAAATCTCGTCATTTCGAGGATCAAGCTGCTGCGCAACAGGAGGGAGTTACAACTGATAAATATGCGCAAAGAAATGGTTCAATATCTTCAGACTGGCCAGGAATCTATTGCAAGGATTCGAGTAAGTTGGAGTTATAGCTGTTTCATTGACATAGTTCTCACTATTTTATTCTTGGAAAAAGAATAAATTACTCGCTCCACATATGAACATTGTCTGGATAACCTCCTGAACCAATTTTTTTTCAATCTACACCCCCTCCCCCAACCATTTCAATTGGTCAAATCTACCCCTTAATAAGTTTTGTCTTTTCTTATTCTTCTTGTACAAGCTGAGTTTTTAGTTCAAATTTTGTAGTGTAGAGAACACCATAACTTATGTTAGAAAAATGCATTATAAATATTTTGTTACTATTTTTGATAGGTTAGTACATCTAATAATAATTATGAAAATTTCAGTGTATTTTTGTAAGATAAGTTATGACGTTTGTTCTCACTTGTAGAATTTGGACTTAAAACTCAACTTGCACGAGGAGAAACAAGACGACAAATCTTATTAAGGGGCAGATTACTCTCCCCTCTTTAACCTCAATTACATCTGAAAGTGATCTGTATACTTTATTGTGAGCGAAGCGTGGAGATTGATAAATAAAAAGGCCACACAGTACCAGATGCACGCCCTCGTGCGCGTGTGTGGGTGGGTGGGTTGGGGGTGGGGGGTAATTTGGACTTTTCCTTTTTTGTTCTTAACATTTTCTAATAATATCATTATTGATCATAGGTGGAGCACATTATTCGGGAGCAAAATATATTGGCTGCCTACGAGATCGTAGAGCTTTTTTGTGAATTTGTTCTGGCAAGAGTCCCTATTATTGAGGTCCAAAAGTAGGTCTTGCTCTATGAATTTTGATCGAATTACAATTTCTAAGCCATGACCCAAGATTCTTTTTTGTCACTTAACAGAATATGATTAACAGCTATTAGTTTTATCATGGAGCAGGGAATGCCCCTTAGAACTGCGTGAAGCAATTGCTAGTATAATCTTTGCATCAGGAAGATGTTCAGACTTGCCTGAGCTAATGCATCTCCGTAATTTGTTTACCACCAAGTATGGAAAGGAGTTTGTTGCTGGTGCTATGGAATTGCGCCCTGACAGCAGTGTCAACCGCACAGTAAGTGGAAGCTCCAGCATGTGCCTTTTGTATTTCAGAATTAAGAATTGATTGCTCACAAAGGTGAGGATCTCTTACACTTACAAAAATATTGTGCATCTTTTATACAGATAATCGAAAAGCTCTCGGTGAAGGCTCCATCAGGTGAATCAAAGCTAAAAGTCTTGAAAGCTATTGCCCAAGAGTACAATATTGAATGGGATTCATCTAATACTGAAGCAGAATTCGATAAGAAATATGAAGATCTACTGGTAGCATTTTCTAACTCATTACTTATTCCCTGATTATTAGGCATGAATGCATATGAAAGGTGTTTCATGTGACATCTTCAAAGCGGGTGTTTGCATTACTGTTTTCTATAGTGAATAAAACTATAACAATGCTTGAAGAACTGCACGTTTGATATTTCCATGGTTGGGCTTAACATAGGCCATATGTTCCAGTTGAAGCAATTCAGTGTAACTTTACGTTCATCCTGAGAAACCATTAGCTCACAATACACTGTTTTCTCTATCAAATATTCAGCTAAGAATCTTGGACTGTCGGCTGCATATTCCACATGCGTTGTCACATTAGGGTTATGTGTCCCTATATTTCTAGTCCAGTTTATAGACTATAGAGTTCTCCCCCATTTTTGGACTTGTGGGTTTGGTCTAATCTTATGTCCTTACCACAATTAGCATGTTCGTGGATTGATTTTGGTTGCTGCACAGCACAATGAGAACTGCAAAAACAATCTGGTAATGTAGAAGGGGTTTGTTGGCTGTTTACTGTGAATCGGGGACTTTGGACCTGTTTGGATCCCCCCCTCTAAACTTTAGACCTCTAAAGTTTAGAGCTAAAGCTCCAAACAGGTAGTCTAAAATTAGCTCTAAACTTTAGCACACCTCACATTAGAGCATTAGACCTCAAAACTGAGCTAAATGGCTCTTAAAGTTTTTAGAGCTCTAAAATTTAGAGGACATGATCCAAACAGGCCCTTTTAAACATGATGCAGTTGATTAAGGAATTTAGAAGATAATCAAAACCAACTAACTGCAAGAATATATATGCCTCCATAACTCCATCGAGAACTAAATGTTCAGCTAAGTTTGAAATGAGAGTAATCTAGAAATCACTTCATCTATTATGTGCTGGTATGCAGGACGGCTCGGGATCTTCAGTCCACCAGGTCCACCCACCTATCATTGAGGGTTCAGTGAGCTCACCAGTTGCTTCTGCTTCAAGAGATAAGCCGCCAGCATTGAATTCACCTGTCATTGACACCCAAAAGCATCAAGTTCGCGAGTCTCCAACTTCACCAGCAGGAGGTACAAGAGCTTGTGTTGCCACTAAGGGAAATGTGGCAACCAAGGAGCATCCCTCCCCCGCTGAGGAGATGTCCTCCACCAGCCCAAGTTCGTCAGACGCGCTGGAGAAAGCCCGAGCTGCTATTGCAGCCGCCACCCGTGCATCTGCTGCTGCTCGTGCGGCAGCGGAACTTGCAAAAGTTAAAATTACAAGTCAGTGACGCCTCCAGTTACAGCAAGGCGACTCAGAAATTCACGATTTACGAATCTGGCAACGCAGCATCAGGACCGACTGAATATATTTCATTGAATAACTTGTTACCGTGTATACCCTTTGTGAGCACTTAGCACATCATATGAGGAGCTAGGCTTCCCGTCTTCCTTTGAATGTAATCAAAGAAAATGTTTGTGGTTTCATCTTAAGGGCCTGTGTTTGGAAAGCAAGAATGTCACATTTACTGTTCATTTGCTTTATTATCATGGATTATGCTGATGTAACCATAACTGTTGTTAGAACGGACACTATCACTGTGCAAAAATGCTACGGTAGGGGATACTCCCTACAAATTACAGATTACTTTTGTTTTGTTAGAAGTCAAACTTTAATTATGTTTAGAGAAAAATGTATCATCATTCATCAACATATAAAACCTCAATTTAGCTTTATTATATATTAGGGTTTGTATACTCCAACTTGTAGATGCTTTTTTTTTTTGAAAAACTAGATCGATCCAAGCAGCTAATTATCAACTGCTAGATGGTCATTTGCATTCTCCTCCGCCGAGGCCGCCGGGCGCGAGTGGGGCTCCTCCGCCGCCGGGCGCGGTGCGAGCTCCGGTGGACGTGGTGCGAGCAGCGGCTGCGATGCGAGCTCAGGGAAGAAACAGTGGGACCCACGAATGGCTAAAATATCCCTATGAAACTGTGCACTCATAGACCCCATTTCACCCTGTTTCATGATGAGTGTCACGTCTTAGAAACTAGGAGGTGAAACCTTCCATTGAGACTGGCCTTAGAGGGAGCCGGCCAATAACTTCTTATTAGCTAGATACTTTATTTTAGGGCAGTACTAGCGTCGGGATGTCTAGATGGACGCCCGTGGCTGCTGCATGCCCACGCCAGGCGGGGACCGCTGGCACGGCTTCCTGCGCCCACAGCCACGCACCGCTCCATCCCTCCGCTTCCCACAACATGCACGGCGCCCTAGCAGCTGCAGCAGACGGTTGTAGCAGGTGAGTCACATTGCAACATATACAACCTGATCTACTTTTGAAACATCCATATGAAATTTTTGCAACATGCGTCTGAAGAAAGATGAAACACTTGAAACATGCGTCTGAAACACTTAAGAAAACACCTAAAAACAATTGAAAAGCCATTGCAAAACATATGCAACATCCTGACGAAACACTTGCAAATATATGTGTGAAACATACACGACATCCAAATAAAAATACTTGCAACATACGTCTGAAAAAATAAATGAAACATTTGAAAAAGGACGCTTGCAATATACGTGTATAACCATTGCAACATATGCAATATCTCGATCTACTTTTGCAACATCTAAACGAAACACTTGCAACATACCTCTGAAACATCTGCAACAAGTTAAACATACTTTTGCAACATAGGGAGAGAGAATGAGGCCGGTCGATTCCGGCCGTCGGAGTGAGAGCCTGAGGCATGCGAGCACCGCCAGCACCGACCACGCTCGTGGGTGCCCCTTGGCTTGGCTGGAGACGACCTGAGGCGCCTCGACACCTGCGCCCAGCTGCCATCGGTAGGGGCAACGGTGGCAGCCCGCGGCGATGAAAGGTCCTTGTTTGGTTTTGGTAATTGAGTGAGAACCTAGATGGACTAATTATGTTTATGTGAGATACATAGGTGATTAGTCCACAGGTACATGTGTGTGAGCAACATATGCCATAGAGGTGAAAATGGCTCGAAGATGTTGCAAAGCTCACACATGTGATGAAGGAGCTCATTGCATATGAGACATGACATTGAGTCATATGACTAAGGTGGAGAAGATCAAGACAAGGCTTGGCTCGATGGACCGGTTGCAAGTGTGAAGGGCAAGTCGAGTGATGACTTGACGTCGATGGACCAAAGCAACGGTGAAGAGCAAGTGAAGTCAAGATCGATGAACCAATAAGGTCACGTGATGATATGAAGTGGATCATATCATTTGTTGATCAAGGTTGGTGCATGTGTTGCATTAACATTGGAGGAGATGGAATGGAATGCGCAAGGCAAAGGTATAACCTATAGGGCATTTCATTTCACCGATCATAGGTGAGTAGAGAAGTTTATGACTGGGTTTAGGATAGATGACCGTACTATTAAGAGGGCAAACTTGTTTGCATATCGGTCATCTAGTGCTATTTGAGCGATCTAACTTTGCATACGTGTTAGGATCGAGTGGCGTGGTAAAAAGAAGTGACTAACCCTTTGGGAAATATTTGTGAAAAGCTAACACACGTTGGTGAACACTTGGTGGTGTCAGCACATTTGCAAAGGTGAAGAAGTTGGTAAAGAAGAGGAGGCGAAACCGGGCTCGGGGTGCTGCCTGGGTGGCACCGCCTCCCCTATGGCGGTGATCGACTGGGGGGCCAAGAGCAGTGTGTTGCCTTGAGGGCACCACCACTGGTTGTCCAGTGGCACCGCTACCCCTAGGGCGGTGCCCACCTAGACTTGGTCGAGCGCAGCAGGAGCCGGTGCCACTGCCTCTTTTCGGCAGAGAGCAGGAGAAGGAGAGGAGGTCACCGCCGTGCCAAGGGCGATGCACCACCCTATTTTTCCATAGAAGTGGTTTCTCGGAGGGTTGGCCTAGGTGGTCACCGCCACCCCTAGGGCGGTGCCACCGCCACCTCAGTCCGGTGACCAAAGGCTAGTTTCTAGCCGTTAGAATTTGACCATTGGGGAGGGCACCGCCGTGTTCGACACCCTCACATAAACCAACAACTTTGCTCCAACGACTCTATTTGACTTGGGGGCTATAAATAGAGGTGGAGCTCAGGCTTGGGCTGGTTGTTGAGGACCCTTAAGCCTTGGTGGCTTGTGTAGGTGTGCATGGGAGCCCTATAACTCACTTGAGCTTGATAGTGATCATCCGATCGAGTGAGTGAGCGATTCTAGTGCGATTGCATCATGAGGTTGCATCAAGTGGCAATAGGTGATCGTGTTGCAAGCCGATGGTGCTTGTTACTCTTGGAGGTTTCCACCTCCTAGATGGCTTGGTGGCTTGAGACTCCGTTGAAGCACACAAGAAGATTGTGAGGTGCTTCGGAGGAGGATTTGTGAGGGGGATTGTGCTCACCCCACGGGGATCACGAAGAACAACTCTAGTTGAGCGTGTCATTGAGCTACCCTCACTTTCGAGGTAGGTTCTTGTGGTGCTCGATGTGCGGGCTTGGCGAGTGATGCCAATTAGCTGCTGAACCACCAAGTGAGCGGTCGACACAACAGGGACGTAGCTTGATGGCAACCAAGTGAACCTCAGGAGAAAATCACCGTGTCAACATTGTCTTCATCATCTTCTCGGTGGTTTGCATTCCGCAAAACATAAGCTTGTATTACTTTCATTTACATTGTGCTTGTGTAGTTGCTCTTGTGACTAGTTTAGCTTTAGTAGCTTGCTAGTTTCCTTCTTACTTGTGTAGCATAGGAGTAGCTCCCTTGTGTGGCTAATTTGGTTTTAGTAACCTTGTTAGTCACATTACTTAGTTTGTGTAGCTAAGTAATTTGTGCTCTATAATTTGGCTTGTGTAGCCTTGTTATTGAGCATAGCTAGTGAGCTTAGGAGCTTTGTGCTTTTGCTTACTAGATTGAGTAGGAGCTCCCCCGGTGCTTGATGTACTAGTTGCATAGATTTGTGTGGCCTTGCTTCTAGAATTGGTTAGGTGAGCTCTAGCTAGCCCAACACCTTAGTTGCTTAATTAGGATCTTTGTAAGGTGCTTGTAACTTAGATAGATGGGTGTAGGCTTGGCTAGACCGATAGTTTTAATTCCGTATTTGTTACGGTTAGCCGACACGATTAATTTTAGAAATGACTATTCACCCCCCTCTAGTCCGCCATCTCGACCCTACACGTGGTATCGGAGCTTGATCTCTCATTTGTGGTCTTCACCGACCCGAGAGGATGGCATCTAGTGGGATAGATGAGTGACACATACATTTTTGATGGCACACACTTTGCATGGTGGAAACACCATATGCTTGATCATTTTCGTGCAAAGGGACCTAAGTTTTGGTGGGTTGTCACAAGTGGTCTCACCCATGTCTTGGACCATAAAAATCTAACCCAAGCTCAAAAGGTTCTCTTTGAACTTGATTCCTATGCTTATTTATTTCTAATGGATGCTTTGAGCTTTAAGTTATTTTACAAGGTGAACCACAAAGGAACCGCCCATGAGTTGTGAGAATCAATCAAGCACACCTTCGGTGACTCCTCCACATGGGATGATGGCAAGTTTAAGAAGGAGGATGAGCCCAAGGTGGAGGGGCGTGAGTGTGTTGAGCATGACCATAATTTGGTGATTGTGGAAGATTGCTCCACCTCATGGTCAAGTAATGATGATGATCAATCCACTACAAGTTCACTTGACAAGATTGATGTTGATGCCTCAAGTGATGCAAATGATGATGCTACTCCATGCACACTTGATGGTGATGATGATGGTTCATGCTCGGATGATATTGCTACTACAAGCCCATCCACTACACCACATTGCTTCATGTCACAAGGTGACACCAAGGTATCAAATGCTAATGTGGTTGATCATGTTGATTCATATGATGAGCTTGTTAGTAGACTTGCTAGCATGACCATGTCTTTAAAAAATAAGAAAGTTAAAACAATGAAATTAGAAAATAAAAACTCATTTCTAAAGAACTCATGTGAAGAACATAAGAAACTACTTGATGTTCTTAAATCTTCACATGGTGAGCTAAAATTAACTCATGAGACACTACTTGCATCTCATGAAGAATTATTAGATCAACATGCTTCCCTCATTAAATTGCTTTCAAAGAAACTTAAAAATAATGAGAGCTCATCACATGAGTCAAGTGATCAATTGCAACATGTGACTAACTCTTGTGATTTAAGGAAGAAGCATGTATCCATCTCTTGTGATGATTTATTAGATATGCCATGCTATTCACATATAGATGCTTGTTCTACTTTCTTGTCTTGTGAGACTAACCTTTTGAAGG